AAAATGCATGCATGCAATTATAAAGCGACAGGGTTTTGGCAAACGCGAGCGACTCTGGATACCCTTGCTCAAGCACGGCAATTTACTGTAGGAAAGCGCAGTTGCAGTAATTTGCTCCACCAGACACAACTAGATTCATTAAATGGAACTTTACAAAGTGACGCGATCTCGCATGCAGTTTAAGACACCTCAACATTCATACTTAAACGTCAACATTTGGGCGGGTGGAGAAGGTGGACAAGTCATATTTCCTGCTCTCCTGAGATTTCGGGTAATTTCCACGACGCGTCCACCACCCGATATATTAATAAATGAAACCCCCCTCTCCATGTATATATAAGAAACCGCTTCCCCCCCAAATAAATGCCAAAAGAACACATCGAAACAGACGTCTAAACAATGGCATCCACTGCCCACAAAGACCCCGAGCAAGTCCGCGAGCGTTTCGAGCCAGAAAGCGAGGTGGAGAGGAAAGCAGCTCAGTTCGCCCAATGGGTTCGGGAGAGCAAGCATTTTATTGCATTCACAGGGTGAGTAGATGCTCAAAACCAACGACCCTGTTCCCCGAATCTCTTCCACCTGGTCTAAACTAACCATATTCTTTTCTCCGACACGAACAGAGCCGGCGTAAGCACCAGCGCCGGCATCCCCGATTTCCGCGGCCCGCAAGGCGTCTGGACCATGCGCGCACAGGGCAAAGTCGCAACTTCCCGCACGACAACCCTCCAAGCCGTCCCGACGCTATCCCACATGTGTCTCGTCGAGCTGCAAAACAGGGGCGCGTTGAAATACTTGGTGTCGCAGAATACGGATGGGTTGCATCGGAAGAGCGGGATTCGACCTGATGTGATCTCTGAGTTGCATGGGAATAGTAATCGGTATGTGTATGAGTTTGCGGGTTATGTGGGCGACGGTTGGGTGGTGCTGATGATGGGTCGTTTCGTCGTCTTCTACTCAGCGAGTATTGCAAGCAATGCGGGAAGGAATACATTCGGGACTATCGTGCTGTGGCGTCTTACCGTCACGATGTGCACGATCATAAAACGGGGCGGAAATGCAGCGTGTGTGGTATGGTCAGATCAGATTGCGCTTTACTTTGTGTGTGGATGTACATTGCCTTATGAAATTCTAAACATCCATTCACATTTATTGATAGGCTCCGACCTTCACGACTCGATCATCAACTTTAATGAGCCTCTTCCGCAGCAGCCCCTGCGGAATGCCATTTCTCATGCTTATGCCGTAAGTACTTATCTCATCTCACTTTGACAGCACATCCATCCATGAGCAACTATGATTCACTCATACCGGTTTTGTTTTGCAGGCGGACCTCTGTCTCGTCCTGGGCTCCTCTCTCACCGTCTCCCCCGCCAACACCATCCCAGAGATCGTCGCAACCAAAAGCCCACCCGGCAAACTCTGCATCGTCAACCTCCAACGCACACCCTACGACCACCTCGCCCACCTGCGCGTCTGGGCCAACACCGACGACTTCATGGGCCGCGTGATGCGACATCTCGGATACCCCATTCCGGATTTCATGCTCCACCGACGGATCGTGGTGGATGTCAAGGAAGGAGCGGTGGAAGTCCGAGGCGTCGACGTGGACGGGACGCATGCGAGTTTGCTGTCGAGGGTGGAGATTGACGATGGCAAGGCGATTGCGGATGATGAGCCGTTTGTGTTTAGGATGAGGGCGGGGTTGAGGCCCGGCGTGGAGATTCCGCTCAAGTTGCATTTTATGGTAAAGGCACAATATTGCTCGATTATGTTCTGCGGTTAGTTGTTCGACTTCATACTAACGTTACGTTTGTATCGCCTTCAGGGCTGGTACGGTGAACCGAGCGTCACCATCACCCACCGCATCGAGGCCATCCCGTCTTCCACCTTGTACATTATGGATTACAACCCAAAGACGGCTAAATGGAATTGGAAGCGGGAAGGTGATACGCGTGAAGCTGGCAAGACGGACGGGACGCACGCGGATGTGAAGAAGGCTGATGGGAAGAATCTCCAAGATGTTGCTGGGAGTGGTGCGGTCCCTGCTGGCACCGGGATGGCCGACACTGCTCGACGGGAGGAGTGATAGTCGGAGAGCCGCATCCTTGCCGTGCTATGTCTCTCGTATATGGTTGATCCACATGGAGCGCACGAGCAATTTGCATATTCAACGTTTGTTCGTCATTAAATATACCTGCATTTGCACCCGGTGGGCAAAGTTCCTGCTTCTTCAGCGCAGAATATTTATGCTGCATGCCATGAAAGACGTTTGCAATCTCTTAAGAGGGGTATTCCCACTGAATTCAATTGAAACAGGATAAATCGACACTCCCATCAATTGCGCAGTCCTTACAAGGACCGTTACATTTATATCGGGGGAGCAGCACACTCCTTTCGTTGGGTAATAGCTGACCTTACCTTAGCTAGTAGAGTATCAAATGAAGATATGAGCAACTTCGATTGTTGTATTGAAAACGATTGGCCAACTCCCAACTTGGACTTGAGCAAACATCAAACTGGCACAAAGTCCTAGCAAAGGGCCCGCCATACAGGTTCATCAAAATCTGGCCTTAGCAGTGACAGAGCATCAGAATCGGAAATACTTTCACATCCTGTTCAAATATTGGGGGAGGACAGGTGCCAACTTCTTCCGAACTCCCGACCAAAGCTCATTAGAATATGTACGTCCCTTCGCTGGTCCCTTCAGGTCATGAGCTCAACCCCAAAACGCGTCCGTGGTGCAACTCCAAGCATCTAAGCAGTTTGTGCAACGGAACAGGAATGCTCAAGCTAGAGCTATCGCGAATGGGCACCCCACCTATTATTCTACTTTCTCATCCATCTGCCAACGCAACCATGGATGACATCTTCACCGCCTCCTGCACCTACCTCCCCCTCCCCGCCATCCTCAACCTAAAACAAACATGCTCTCGTATGAACACCCTCATTACAGACGCTATCCTGCTTTCCGCCTTCCTCAAAACCTCCGGGCCCACCGCCCTCCCCATTCTCGCAAAAAGAATGCTCAGCGACCCGTCCTCTACGCCGGACGCTGAACAGAGATTCATCACCTTCGCATCACGGTTACTCCACATGGGGTGCGGATATAGCAGGAAGGAGTGATGCGGTGTGGGACGTCCTGGCCTACACCGCACGGTTCAACAACGCAGATGCCGTCCGGTTCCTCGTCAATGCCGGAGCAAGTACACAGGCGGACGTGTCGTGGGCGTTAGAGCTGGCCGCCTCAAATGGCCACGAAAGTGTCGTGCGGCTCCTACTGCGGTGGACGGGGCCGGCACCTACACTTACACCTACCCACTTCCGGGCGCAACGTCCGGCGGACACGTGGGTGTCGCCCGCGCGATTTTGGAGGAGGTGAGGAATGTGGATTCGCAAACGCTGCGGCGGAGCCTTGCCCAGGCTGCGCTGGCGGGGAGCGAGGATATGGTGAACCTGCTTCTGGAGTTTGGCGCGAGTGTGGATGGGATGCAGCAACCGAATCCGTTGGCTTATGCCGTGGCAAGTGGGAATTCACGGATTGTGAAGCGGTTTCTGGAGCTTGGCGCGGTGGGTAGGGAGAGTGAGTTGGTTAAGGCGCCTGAGTATAATAGGGAGAGGGTTTTGGGGACGGGAAGCGGGAGGCGGTGGAGGGGGACGATGGCGGAGTGGAGGGGGACGATGGCGGAGTGGAGTGAGGAATACAACAAAATCAGAGAGATGTTGCTTGAGACAGGGGTTGAGGTTCCGGACGCCAGTAGGGGCAGGTAATAAGTATGGTATGTTTACTTCTGATGGTCTATCTACTATGTGCAACGGTGAAAATAAATGAGGCGGTGAAGGTGGCAAAAACCCAGAAACCCCCATTTTTTAGGAAAACCATCGCTCAAGATGTTTTTATTCACTCCGTTCCTTTTTGCACCCGTTCCAAAATTACATACAAATGCTATGTGTTCTTCTGGTTCCGCCAAAAGGAATAGCACGGTACAGTATCAATGGTAGTTGTCCATATATTCAAATGACAACACACTATCCATCATCGCATTGATGACGCATTGATGCATGATAGGGTGCAAGTGGGTCTGATTTGATTTGATCATGGACAGATGGACCTTTGTCGCGACTGCCAAACAAATCGGCCACACACTACAAGGCCAAAAGAGAAGTCTCTGACAGGAATGTCCTTTCAAAGTAATCCCAATGCCGGATTTGAACCCGGACAGAGGGGAAACACGGCAGCTCAAGACTGCGTAGAAAATATTCCTAAAGCCCGGGCTTGAACCGGGTCAAAGGGAGGGAAAAGAAGTACTTGCAGGGCGAGGCCGCCCGGGACAAAGAGCACCCGTATGTACAACAACCCGCCGAATTTCGCGAAAACAACAGAATCCGTTGTAGCAGAAACGAGACGCCCGCATCCTTTGTTGGTGTTGAAACCCAGTCAGACACCCCACCGAAGTGGGGAAGGGAGAAAGCGAAGGGAGATACGTAGATGAAAGAAAAGCAAGACTGCAACCACCACTCACGCACCAACCCTTCCGGGGCCGATGATGCCTCTCAACCCAAGACACAGAGTGAGCCGCCGTGAGTGTCCCTCAATCTCAATGTCCAGGGACCCGACAAGTATGGTTCAAAGAGAGAGGTCCAAAGCTCACAGGGTCAGGGTCCTTCAGTCAGGTTGTACAGAATAGTTCAAGTGAGTGTCGCCTCATTTCAGAGTCCAGGGACCCGTAAGTGTGGTACTCATTTCAGAGCCCAGTGACACTGAAATGAGTCCATGGACCCGTAAGTAGGGTTCAATGAAAGAGTGCAAGCGTCACGAGTCCAGGGTTTGCTGGCGGTGTGGGGGATGGTTGGAGAAGGGGGATACATAGCTGAGCGTCCAACCGGCTAGCTGAGGAGGGTCAAGGTCATGTGAGGGTGATAAGCCCGTGGCACAGTTTCTGTGTTTGCATATCTCGTACTACTCTACTTGGAAACCCCACAGCAGCACCAGAACACGAAATCCGGCCTTAGCTTAGTTGGTAGAGCATCAGACTGTAGTGGTTCGAACCGGTCCAACCGGCTAGAAAACAATGTAATCTGAGGGTCTCCGGTTCGACTCCGGAAGGCCGGAATTAATCAATATTGCCTTTGACTTTTTGTGTTTTTTTGGCAGCTGTTGGGAGGTCATGCCCGGGATTTCGCAACCCTAGTAGCGGGACAACCATTATTTAGAAGGAGGAGAAACAATGCCGGGAGTAAACGCAGATGCTATCTACAGTAGCTGTTAACATTTTTGGAGCTGCCCAGGTCGCCCATTTTTTTGTGATCTTCTGAAGGAGAAGAGACATGCAAAACGTCAAGGTTAACATGTGAAATGACTGCATAATTGACGCTGACGCTTGAGGAAGAAGAAACGAGCCCTGGTCTACCGAGTCCTTGGCGTAACCTCCCATGTACACCAGACGGACTATCCATCACTACCACACCGGTGTCGACAAGACGACAATTATAGACAGCGTGGCTCAAATCTCACACGCCGAAACTTGGTTCAACATTTGCCAATGGCTAAAAACATGCCAACAAAAACAATCCGAAAAAAATACAAACCGTCCTTCGTCGTCTACCATCCAAAGTTCCACCGCCCCTCCTATTTATTTCACATTCCGTACAACCCAGTCCACAGCCTCCGCAAACCTCCGAACGTTGCCCGTGTTGAGCCCAGCCATGGAGATCCGGCCATTGTCCGTCATGTAGATGTGGAACTTTTCTTTCATAACTTGCACTTGTTCGGCTGGTTGGTACAAAGAGGGGTTTGAGAGGGTTGAATCCGCTAAGATAGGCATGGGCGAGTAAGAGAAAAGTGACTTACGCGTCAATCCCGTGTATGAAAACATTCCGATTTGGTCGACGATATGGTTCCATGTTCCGGGAGTGTTCAAATCCTTGAGGGCATTGAATAGGGCAACGCGCATTGAAATAATTCGGTTGGCCATAGACTGCAATTGGACCACCCTACATAATCCGCGTATCAACATTTAGCGCGGCAGGAGAAGCTTCGACATGTTGCTAATGACTTGCCATTCTTGGTAAAGGACAGGGTCGTTCAAAACCCTTGCAGCGATACGCGCGCCGTGCGCGGGAGCTGTGGAATACATTCCTCTGCTAATTTTGGCGCACTGACTTAAAACGGCCGCAGCGCGTTGCGGGTTGGACGCGACTACGGAGATACACCCAGCACGTTGCCCTTGATCGACGGCCGTTCTAATTCAGCGATTTCGGGACCAATCGAGCAAAAAGGCAAAAAGGGGAAACGCGCGTTCTCACCGTAAAGACCAAAGTTCTTTGCAAACGACTGAGCGGTGAGCATTTCGAATCCTTGGCTGACAAAGTAGCGGACGGCCTGCGCATCGCGGTCAAGGTCACCAGTAGCGAAGCCTTGGTATGCGCAGTCGAAGAAGGGCAGATGGTTCTTTGACTATAATAGAGCGGCGGCGTCTCAGCCTCCATAAAGATGTCCCAAATAGACGAACATGGCGCCAAACCTTTAGAACTTCGGCAATCTGCTTCCATTGCTCGAATGTCGGGTCCACGCCGGTTGGGTTGTGTGCACATGGATGCAGGAGAATGATGGAGTTGTTCGGAGCGGCCTTCATTTCGTATGGATCACCAGCGATAAGAATCTGAGGAACTGACACCCATAAGGGACGCGAAACTCACCCTGAATGCAGCCAACATTTCCTCGAACGCCAATCCGCGCGTCTTTGCGTTCCAGTAAGGGTATTCCCGCACCTCCATGCCCGCATCCGTGAAAATCGCCCGATGGTTACCTGAAACAGAGACGGGTATCAGAAGGGGCACTCTTCGGCATCCACTATTGTGAGCCCACGCACCCCAGGTAGGGTTCGAAATGTAAACCGGAGCCTTGTAGAAGCGTTTCAGAATCTCGGCACCAAGACGCACTGCGCCCGTCCCAGAAATGGTTTGGCAGCCAGCAATCTGCGTAGGTCCATGAAGCCATCAATTTTCGTTCGGTTGCCCACATGCCACACGAAATACCAAAGCGCACCCTCTTTTCCCGAAGCGCTGGGTTCTCGGGGCTATAGATGAGCTTCAAAGCAGCGTCAACGAATGCAGGAACTCCAGTGACCGGAAGGTACTCGTGGTCAGTAGTAGGATCCTCAATGACCAACCGCTCGGCCTAATACATAAATGATTAGCACATATAAACGGGTATCCCTCGGACCCTCTACAAAAATCACCCGACTTCCGCAAATCGCGCTTGCAAATACGCACCTTGCGAACGACAGGCAGCACCCACGGCTTCCCATCCTCCCCACGGTAGGCCCCGACTCCCACATTAATCTTATTAGGGTCTTGGTCGGCCTTGTACAAGCTGGTGAGGTTTAGAATCGCGTCGGGAGGCGCCAACGGTACGTCGGTGAACGCGGCGTCTGTGGAAAACAGGGGGAAGCCGCACGTTAACGGAACCATATTGCCCATTTGCAACTGATCTTCCTGCATTTCGGTTGAACTTCTACAAGGTGGTTCGTACCATAGGGATGGGTGGGTGCTCCAGTAAGGTGAGCAGCCACAGCAACGAGTCGCTCCTTTGCGGTCATCGTGTTTTTCAGAGCGGGGAATCCTGCGGTTGGAGTGGGCACTGGAGGGATCTCACGGTCAAAGAGTGGAGGATTCGTGCAAGAATCGTGCGTCCTTTCGTAGAGGAGCTGCACTGGCACCTGTTTTTGGTTTGATTGGGTCACATGACTCACGCATCTCCGACGCGTGGTGTGCACCAGCGCGAGTGCATGGCCAGATGCCCATTCAGAGGGACTTTCCCGACGTCAGACGCTCATGGAAATTTAGCGTGATCCTCGGCCTGGACACACTTTGGAACGGACCACAAATATATTTGGCATTTATAAAGTTTTAGATAGTAGGGGTTTTTTGATGTAAAACAATTCAGAACGACTAAGACAACGTCGTCTTGAATTCTGGCATAACCAAGTCTGCCGGTCCTGACTCCTTCTTATCTCTCCATTCCCCCCAATAAACCTCCGCCACGCCCAACCCCACCGCCAGAAGCCCCATCCCCACTAACGAGCCCGCCATCAGTCGCGGTCCTGACTCCTTCAAAAACAAGGGATTCTCCACCGGGCTCTCGTACAGAGGGAACGTGGCAGCCCGGTACGTCAGCCCTCCCACACCGCCCGCAAAGAAATTCGTAAAGTGCCATCTGAAATCTTCCAGAACTCCTTTTCCTTTCATTTGCTCCGCGTCAGCCCGCGATGTTTGTCTCCTCGCTTTGTTCACACCCGTGCTCAGTCCTTTGTAGACAGTGTAGAATGCCGCCCATCCAACCGTATTTTTGAAAATGACTCGAAATGGAGATACGTGGGGCGGGATAGCAAGACGCTCCACACGGGTTTCGGGAAAGTAACGGTGGTCCAGCGGTCCTGCAATGCCGGAAATGGCCAGGCCTGCTAGAGTGCCTGCGAGAACGCTGCCCTTTGGGCCGGAAGGGACGTGCCGCTCCGCTTCGGTGAGTACAGCGGTGGCAGTGAGAACAGATAGGGCTTCGGCCGCGACGAAAGGTACGGGCATCGTTCGTAGTGATTTTTTGTGGAAGGTGAACTCCTCTGAGGTCCGACGCGTCTGACAACGAACTTTGACCACTGCCATGGCAACACACCGGGGTATGTAAGCAGTGACGCAGGCTGCCAGCCACGACGCCACCCAACTCTCAATCTCTGCTCTTCCGATCCTGTTAACGCAGAAAGGACACAACGTAGCTCGTCAAGTAGCACCATTTTTAATTAACAAAATATTTATTTAGAGATCACTTTCTACTACACGACTCTACATATTTAAAACACACTTTCATAGACATTTCGACTTTTTTTCGCGAACCGGTCGCATATCAGTCATATCACACGGTGCACCACCCCACGTTTTGCATCCGTCCACCAAACCCTCCTCCACCCCTCATCGTAAACCAGTTACGAGATCATGCGTGCCACACGTATCTGTAGGTGTGATTTACGACGGTTAGCATTCAATAGGTTCCTACATTTCTCGCGCAGTTGTCCCCTACCTTCACTGGCAGAAGAGGCGAGAGACAATTTGCGACCCCATACCGATCGCTGGGGCAAAGTCGCCCGCCAGCTTGCCGGCCAGGACGCTGGCCATGGAGACCCATGTGGAGCAGTCGTTCTTTGTCGGAGCGGGGGTGACGACAGACTTCATTTGACTGATCATAGCGCCCGAAGGGTCGCGAAGATCCATCTGAATCGTTTGTGGAAGTTTATGGACCCAGTGGTCTTCATTGGTGCATCCGACGGTTGGGTCGCCGACGCATTCCTGCTTGATAAAGCCACTGGCGTCCGAGGCGTCACTGGCGGTGTCCAGAAGCCCCTTGACCATCGCATCGCGTTCGGCCCAGTTGCGGTGGAAGGCGGAGAGGGTCCATTGGACGTCGACGGTTTCGTGCCAGCCAGTGAATTTGTTCCAATCGTTGCACGTCTTGGATTGGGTAGCACTGTTGCAAGCACTTTCACCGCAAAGGGTCCAGGCATCCCAAAGGATGTCGGCGCCGCGGCAGTCCCCAATGTAGGTTTCTTGGGGCGACAAGTAAAGCTTCAGCTCCCACTGGCCATCCCTACGTGCCAGATGGTTGGCGTCGATGGGGCGTGTCCCGTTGGCGTCGGTGATGAAGCTGGCGATCAAGCCTTCAGGGGCGAACAATTTGGGATCGACGATCTCAGAAGCCGGTGCCTTCTGTGCGATGGGGCTTGCGGCGACGCTGGTAGCGAGCAACAAAAGAGCGACGGTATCCTTCATTTTGTAAGTCTAATGACGTTTGTTGAAAATTTGATTTTTGTTGGTGATGCAAAGAAAACCGGTAAGTGATAGGTTGTAGGAGGCAGGAGGTAGGTTCGCAACACTCCAACTTACAGGTTAAACTGACGATTGGGATGGGGTTGGATGCTACGAAGGAACGGGTTGACGGTGTCCTCTTATAGCCCACATCGCCGGATACCACCTGCTTTGGAGAATGGCCGACTCGCGCAGTCTTCCCCGCACGCGCCATAGAGGAAGGCGAGCTCCCGGTCCGCGAACGGTCGAACGGGA